TATTATGGGGCAAAAATAGGCTTAGGATTTATTTAGGGACTTAACCTTGACTAGTAAGGTAAAAAGTCCATTTCTTTCATTTTCTAGGACTAAGGGTACTTTAGTCTTTTTGGCGAGATGAGAGTCATTTCATTTGGGCTGCATCTAGGGTTCATTTAGGGTGCATTTGGACTTGAAATTTTCGGCCAAATGCTCCCAAGAAACCCTAGGATGCTCTCCTATCTCTATAAGTACTCTAGTCCCTCCACCTTGTACCCACTTTGGAATATATGCATTTTGAGTGAGCCTTTGTGCCTCAAAATCCTTCCTTAGTCTCCTAGGGTCCTCAAGCCCAACCTCCTCTCCTCTCTACCCTAAAGAGAGTTTGAGTTTCCCTTGAGTGGACTCCACCAACCCTTGGTGGAGAGAACTATCCAAGAGCACCAAAAACACCTTCCACCTTCCCACCTCCATTTTCGTCCACCTTCACCTCCACCCTTCAATATTGTTTTTCCACCACCCTTGAGGAACATCTAGCCATCATCCTTCTTCCTAGACCGTGGAGAAAGAGGGAGCTCCTCCTTGGAAGCCAAAGAACACACCATGGAAGGAAGGAGCCCATCACCCTCCTCAAACCTCCTCATCCAACCTTTCAGCAACGTCCTCACATGAGACCAGTCCCTCTCCCACTAACCCAACCCCATCCACTATGGAACACCTTCACCAAACTTAACCTTTGAATCCTCCACCACACGTGTTGCTGGCACGGGTGCCTCTCCATCCAATTTATCCATTCCCACATCGCCTACCCTTGAATCCATCTCCTCTCCATTCATTCTTCCTCACAATGTTCACCCTATGACAACTAGAGCAAAAGATGGAATAGTCAAACCACGCCTACAACCCACACATCTATTAACTCACGTTGAACCCAAAACAACCAAACAAGCCTTATCTAATCCTACCTGGACTGCTGCCATGCAGACTGAATATAATGCCCTCCTTCACAATGGTACCTGGTCTCTTGTTCCTCTCCCACCGCATCGAACTGCCATAGGTTGTAAGTGGGTCTTCCGTGTCAAAGAAAATCCTAATGACACTGTTCAAAAGTACAAAGCCCGTCTTGTTGCCAAAGGGTTTAATCAACAGTTTGGCTTCGACTATCATGAAACCTTCTCACCTGTTATCAAACTTGTCACTGTTCGGCTCATTCTCACTCTTGCCTTAACCCATCATTGGCCTATTCAACAACTAGATGTTAATAATGCATTTCTCAATGGAACTCTTGAAGAGGAAGTGTATATGACCCAACCCCCAGGATTTGAAGCTTCTGATAAATGTCTCGTCTGTAAACTTCACAAAGCCATCTATGGGCTCAAACAAGCACCCCGTGCTTGGTTTGAAAAGCTTAAATCAACTTTACTGCAGTTTCACTTCCAAGCAAGTAAATGTGACCCGTCTTTATTCGTATACTCCCATGCCAACAATGTCATCTACATCTTGGTGTATGTTGATGACATTATCATCACTGGCAATAATTTCGCTATCCTTCATACACTTGTCTCTCAACTCCATTCCGTCTTTTCTCTCAAAGATCTAGGTGACCTTGATTATTTCCTTGGCATTGAAGTCAAAACTCAGTCTGATGGTTCCCTCATCCTCACTCGGAGTAAATACATCAGAGACCTCTTAAACCGCACTGATATGGAAGCGTCGAAACCTATTTCTTCTCCAATGATTCCTAGCAGCAAACTATCAAAAGCAGGTTCTGAAGATTTCATGGATGCGTCTCTCTATCGTTCAGTTGTTGGTGCATTGCAATATGCCACCATCACAAGACCCGAAATTAGCTTCTCTGTAAATAAAGTTTGTCAATTCATGTCTCATCCTCTTGCACATCATTGGTCTGCTGTTAAACGTATTCTTCGGTATCTGAAGGGCACTACCTCTTGGGGTCTTCATCTGCAACCAGCTTCTTCCTCCTCCTCTTTTTCCATTCATGCCTAACGGATAGGGACAAATTATTTTTTAGTCAATTTTGGTCTGAATTGTTTAAGTCGGCAGGCATTAGATTGAAGTATACTTCAGCCTATCACCCTCAATCGGATGGGAAAACGGAGGTAGTTAATAGATGTTTGGAGGATTACTTAAGATGTTTTGTGGGGGATAAACCCAAGCAATGGCCTAGTTGGTTACCTTGGGCAGAATTTTTCTTTAACACGCATTATAATCAATCTTCTGGTATGACGCCATTTAAAGCTGTCTATGGGAGAGATCCCCCAACGATTTTTAAAGCTCAAACTTTTCCTTCAAAAGTAGAGGCCGTGAATTTATTGGCAGAGGAGCGAGATGGAGTTTTGGAGGAGTTAAGAGCTAACATTTGTAAGGCACAATCAAGGATGAAACAACAAGATGACAAGAAAAGAAGAGATGTTAATTTTGAGGTAGCAGACTGGGTTTCTTTGAAGGCACAACCATATAGACTCGAGTCTCTAGTTAAAAGGAGGAATGAGAAATTGGCTCCTAGATTCTATGGTCCTTTCCAGGTGGTGGCTAAGGTTGGTACAGTGGCTTATAAGTTGCAGTTACCAGAGGGCAGCAGAATTCATCCGGTATTTCATGTCAGCAAGTTAAAGAAGGCCATTCCACCTGAAATGCAAGTGCAGCCCCTTCCAATGGAGCTTTCTGTTGAATGGGAATTGCAGCCACAACCAGCAGAAATTTTATCCTACAGGTATAACAAAGCTGGTGAACAATAGGTTCTTGTCCGGTGGCACAACCTACCAGACTTTGTGAACTCGTGGGAGACAGCTACGAAGATGAATATCACATTTCCACCTTGAGGACAAGGTGATTGTGTTAGGGAGGAGTATTGATAGGGGACCCATAGTTAAGAGGGTCTATGTTAGGAGGAAAAGGGAGGATAGTTAGTTATTATGTTAACTAACTGATAGCTGTTTTGTGGAGGCAGTTAAATTGTATAAATATGAGAGAATCATAGAAGTAGGTGTGAAGAAAATAGTGGAATAATTTGGAGAGATAGGCGCTCTCGAGTTTACCCGGTATCACTGTATTCTTTCCTTCTGGTTTGCATCGACCAGCAAAGGTTCAATAACAAATATTACAAGAGTCTTTCATTTCTCTCTAAATCTTCCTTAATACCCAGTTGAGATCTATCAGTAGCATATAGACCTTCACTGCCAGAGGGTTGCAAAATACACCTGGTGTTCCATATCAGCAGACTAATGAAGGATGTTCCTGCTTATTACCAACTTCAATGGCTTCCAGCTGCATTAACTGCTGTGTGCTGATTGGTAGCTTCAACCCCAGCTTGAGGGTGTCCTTCCTCTGCATTGGAACAAGCAAGGCCAAGCAGATGTTTTGGCTAAATGGATTAACCTACCGGACTGTGAGTACCCTTAAGTGTTTGTTGACACTCTACACAATACCTTTCTGATTTTCCCCTTGAGAACAAGGTGAATAATGTTTTAGGGGGGAGTATTGATGGGTGCCCAATGGTTAGGAGGGTGTATGTAAAAAGGGGAAATAAGGTTAGAACAATGAATTAATTGAAATGTACAGAACACTATAACTGGGGGTGTTAGAAGTTAGTTGAGTTAGAAGCTCTTTCAGAAGTTGTAGGAGAGAGAAGGTGCTCTTGGATCACATTGCTGTATCCTTACTCGTTGTATAGACCCAACTCACTAAGTGATATTTTAGGGGTACATTGCTCTCGTTTTCTTGTTCACTTGTACTTTCTGCCTGAAACCATTCGATGAGTCTGTCATTAATTTTTATAGAGAGAACGATGGTTAATTTTTTCACCAGCATGCATTCTTCAAATCTTAGAGCCAATTTTGTATAACTTTAAAATATTATGAAAATTTCTGGTTAATTATTTAACATGCAATTCAAGCTTAAAGTTTTTGCCTATTTCTTGTTATCTTAAAGTTGTAACCAATTTATGGTTCATATATTTTATTTGTGTGAAAGCAGATGAAGGTGAGGTAAACATATGTTGCAACTGTGTTTGGCCGCTGTAGCTTTTGTTTCATTTTTGCTAGTGAGGCTATGGTTTACATATTTCCCTTCATAACAAACGTATCTTTCAATTAATATTATTTTTGTAATGGCTCTTAGTGGTAATTATGTTTTTATGCAGAATGTTAGATTCCTAGCAAACTTCATAACAAAAGGCTGGAATTATTATCAAGAGAAGCAAGGTAAGTTCTAAAGCTCGGCTAGGGAATAGAGTTTGTAAGAATGTTTCAAGATTATGGAGTAAAAATAAACTATGGATGTTTCAGAATTAGTACTGTAATCATTTCCCATTCCTCTTCCCAAGCATATTACCCCCTTCTGTCATATAAGCAAAAAAAAAAGAAATTCATATATGTTGGTCTAAACTATATGTAAATTTTAACTAGTTTCATCCTTTTTCTTTTTTATCACCAAATGTTAATTGTTAATTATGTTAGTGGAGGGATTCAAATCCACACCTTCCTTATTGTTGAATTATTGCTAATTGATTGCCAATCATATAAAGTCTTTCTATTTTAGAATTTGTAAAGATATGATTCTTATATATTAATTGTAGACAGCCCATTAGTTTAAATGGGGGAACGTAAGTTTAGGAGGAAAAATCCCTATATATTGAATATATAGCTTCTGTACTGATATATGAAAATAAAGGGAATTACCAAACTCTAATATCTATGCCTCTTGTTCTGTTTTGCAAGATGGTATCAGAGCCTCCCTTTGGAAAAAATTCTTAAGCCAACAAAACTTTTTTTTTTTTCTCTCTCTCTCTTCCAAAATGTCTGGAAAATCAGCCTCCATTGTTGTTCAACCGGAGGGTATTTTTAATGCTGGAATCACCCTCACAGAATCAAACTACGATGTTTGGTCACAACTAATGGAGATGCATATTGCGGAGCGGGAGAAAACCTCGTACCTTAACAACAACGTAAAGCCCCCTGCAAAGACTGATGAAGGATATGACAAATGGTATGCTGAAAATCAGAAAGTGAAGCGTTGGTTGTTGATGTCCATGAGCCCAAAAATAATGAAGCGTTACATACGCTTATCCACTGCCCACAAAATCTGGAGTGCTTTGTCCAAAGCCTTCTATGATGGAAGTGATGAGTTGCAAGTTTTCACATTAAATCAAAAGGCTTTCACTGCCAGACAAAGCGGTAAGTCTCTTTCAGAATATTATGGTGAATTGACTGAGATTTTTTGTGAATTAGACCAACGTGACAAGGTGTCCATGAAGGACCCGGATGATGTAGAAACATATCAAGGGTCTATTCAACGTCTGCGGGTGCACATATTTCTTTCCGGATTAGATGGCATCTTTGAACAGATTCGTGGAGAAATTCTGCGTAAAGAACCAATTCCTGATTTGGAAGAATGTTATGCTTTGGTTCGACGTGAGGCATTGCGTCATGCATCTCTGAAGATGGAGCCTGAACATGCTGACAGCTCAGCAATGGTAGTCCGAAATCGATCAACTCAAAATTGGCAGCATCGAAGTAAAACAGACCATGCCAAGACTACCTCTAGTGATAAATCTTCTTATAAATGCACCCATTGCAACCAAAATGGTCATACAAAAGATCGTTGTTTCGAGCTTGTGGGATATCCTGAATGGTGGGATCATAATCGGGATTCAAGAAAGAAGAATTCCAACAAAAACCCTACTGTGGCTACTATTGAATCAAAGTCAGAAGATTCAGCTATTGAAAGACAGTCTGCTTTGGTAACAGCTACAAATTTTGTTGGTAAGGCTTTAAATATTTCTGAACATAATTTGAATAGCACATGGATAATTGATTCTGGTGCAACAGATCATATAACATTTGGTTCTAGACAGGTCTCGCCTCTTAAACCTTCCTCACAAAAAAACTGTTTGCGCTGCCAATGGTAACACAACTTCAATTATTGGTGAAGGATCATTGACCCTCACCAATTCCTTGAATTTAGACTCTGTTTTAGTTGTCCCAGATTTAAATTACAACCTTTTATCTGTTTCCAAAATAACTACATCTTTATCCTGTGTTGTAATTTTTTGGCCTGAATTTTGTGTGTTTAAGGACATTCAAACCAGGCAGACGATTGGTTGTGGTATTAAGCGAGGGAAATTGTACTACTTGGACTTGGCGACAAAAAGTATCAACAAGCTACAACAAGCTTTGATAGTGGACAGTTTTGAGGAGGAGAAGAAGAAATCTGAAATTTGGTTATGGCATCGACGTTTGGGGCATGCTTCTTTTGGTTATTTGAAAAAGTTTCCTAGTTTGTTTACACATTGTGATATTTCTAGCTTCCGCTGGGAGTTTTGTCAACTAGCAAAAAGCCATCGTGCTTCATTTCCATTAACATTCAATAAAAGTAAAACCCCTTTTCTGCTTATACACTCATATGTTTGGGGTCCATCCAAAGTCCTAACTTTAGGTGGATCACGGTGGTTTGTTACATTTATAGATGATTGTACTAGAATGACATGGTTATACTTGATGAAATCCAAAAGTGGTGACAATGGTGAATATCAAAGTATTGATTTTTGACAATATCTTGAAACTCATGGAATCATTCATCAGACTTCTTGTCCCAATACACCCCAACAGAATGGGGTTGCAGACCGAAAAAATTGTCACTTGTTGGAGGTTGTTCGAGCTTCATTAATACAAGCTAATATGCCTTTATCTTATTGGGGAGAAGCACTTACCTCTACAGCATATGTAATCAATCGGGTGCCAATTAAAATTGATCTCCCTTCATGTTTGTTGTGTAAAATGGGGATAAAATGTGTTTAAATAACATAAATAACCCATATAAAGAATGATATTTGATATAAACAAAGGTATTTTTTTATGAAAATGATATTTATTCATATATAAATTAGAATAATGTGTGTAAACTCATAAATATTTTAAAACTATTTTTTTTAAACTTGTCTAATTAACTCAAAAGGGCAGCGCTTCTTGAGTTTCAAGGCAGGGTTTTTCAATTTTTTCCAGTTCTACAGCTTTAGCCTTGAGAGCGTTTTTTTTTTAACTTCTCTTACTGAAGACTAAGTTCCAAGTTTGTTATTAGTTTCATTTTTTTTAAAAAAAATTATTTAATTGTTTGAGCTTGAGAGTTCTATCATACATTTTATTGGCAAAGAAAGTTGTTTTGTCACAAAGATAGTTAGGTTAAGTTCCAAGTTTGTTATTAGTTTCATTATTTAAAAAAAATCATTTTATTGTTTTAGCTTGAGAGTTCTATCATACATTCTATTGTCTAAGAAAGTTGTTTTGTCACACACGTAGTTAGGTTAAGTTCCAAGTTTGTTATGAGTTTCATTATTTTAAAAAAAATTATTTTATTGTTTGAGCCTAAGAGTTCTATCATACATTCTATTATCCAAGAAAGTTGTTTTGTCACACAGATAGTTAGGTGCATTATAAAATTTATAATATTATTTTCTCCATGATTAAAGTATTAACTAAATAGTTCTTTAGCAGACAACTTGAGAGGGAGAGGCAAAAATAGTCTTTTTTGCAATTTTTAGAAGTGAAAAAATTATGTTTATGCCTTTAAGGAAGGTAGTTGTTAGAGAGAAGCAGGGAGCCCACCCACAGGAATGAAAGATCAACCATAGTGAAAGGAAGGGATAGTCACCCTAAAAATCAAGTGAGCTAATCATCATTATTTAGGCCTATTAGGAATTTTTTTTAAGTAGTTTACTAGTTAGCGAGCTATAAATTGAGGTAGAGAAGAATGTAAAGGAAATCAATTAATTGGTCTCAAGAAAAACAGTTAATACGTTCTTCTTTAAGAATAAATGACAGTAAAATTAAACTCATTTTCTGTTTTGAAGTTGTTTGCTATGCCATATAGTGTGTCTTAACTCTGTCTAGAAATGTTTTCCTAGAGTCTGTTTTCA